AGCGACCGAGCGACGATGTCCATGGCGGTGCCGAGCACGCTCCGCGCCCTGGCCCCTCCGGCTCTGCACCCGTGCCCTCTGGGGACGAGCGGGTCCGCGCGCCCGTCGCCGGCGCACCGGGCGGCGCGGGGGATGATGACGACGGTGGCCCGGCGGAGGGGCGTGGCGGTTGCGGCGGCGGCGGTGGCGGCGGACGCGGGGTGGCTGGAGCGGCTGCCGGAGAAGGAGAAGCCGCTGTACGCGCACAGCCTGCCGTGCATCGAGGCGTGGCTGCGCAGCGTCGGGTTCGCGCAGTCCCGCGAGGACCGCGCCGTGTGGGTCGCCGAGACGCCGCTCTGGCACGCCCGCCTCAGCCTCGACGCCACCGACCTCCACATCAGGTAGCCCGCACGCCCGCACGCCCTTCCACGCCGGCCGCCGCGCCGCTCTTCTGTAGAAAAAATAAAATCTCTCTGATTGAAGACGAATTGGAGCGCGCTACGCAGCGAATCTAGCAAGCAATCGACATGTCAGATTACTCAATGGTTCATCATTTTTATTATCCCAAGGATTGTGGTTCGGCTAATGATCTGCAAATCCTCTACCGAAAACCAAGCTGACAGTGCGATTATACAACTGACTTCATAATTTAGCACCCCCTGACCACCTGAGTTCCAAGATCGAGCTGCATCCTCATAACAACAAATGCAATGCTTCCAGTGTGTTCTTCCGGCTTAGTTAGCCACTTAGCCCAGTGTAGCAACTACTCACTCCGTTCTGAATTACTTGTCGCACGTATGGATGTATCTAGATGTATTTTAGTTCTAGATACATCCGTTTCAGCGACGAGTAATTTGAAACGGAGGGAGTAGTAATTGACATGCCAGATCGCTCAACAGTTGGTTGTCTTCACTTTCCCAAGGATTGTGGCTCTGCAAATCCTCCACTGCTAACCAAGCTGCGAATGCACATACTACTGTTCTTTCAGACAGAGATGTCATTCTACCCTTTCCAGAACATACTGACTTTATAATTTAGCACCTGACTGTCTGAACTCTAAGAACAAAACTACATCATCATAACACTAGAAAGCATGGAATTCTTTGCTAATCGACTGAATCATTATTTGCCAAGAAAACGATTATTGTCACTGAACCCTGTCATGTTTAATCGACGTAATCAGATACCTGAAGAGCGGCCCGGGGAACCTGGAGAAGGACATGGAGAGGAGGTTCAGCTACGCCCTGAGCAGACAAGACATCGAGAACGCCATCCTCGGCGGACCCTGATAATCAATCCCCATCCATCCACCACTATGGCTCGATCGAAACCAGGACCCTTTGTCTCTCTAAGCACGACCAGCCCCATGCAAGATCCCTTGTTCAAGTGTGATTGTAATGTCAGAATTCAGCTCTGCAATACTAATTTCAACATGGTTAATCTACACAAGCGAGATAGGATTCAGTGCCAGTGTCGCCTCTGTTTTCAGGCAGACCTGTACAGACATTTTCTCTGGATTGATCTTCTGAAAACACATTTTCTCTGGATTTCTGTTGATGACACGATGATCAGATGTTTGATGTCAGCTTGTTTCTGCATCCGAGACGAAATGGATTTGCGAGATTCACCTGCAGAAATGGGGGTGTAGCTTTGCAGAGTAGAAGTAGAAGCGAGTGTCAGTCTACTTTGAGTCTGAACCGATTGGGTCACAGTAGGTTCTACTTCTACTGTGCAAAGACAAGCTTCTTTTTTTATTTTTAGGGTTTCTTCTCTTTTTTTGATGGGCTCAGCTCAGCTTCTTTTTCTTTTCTTCACGAGATAAGCTTCTTTTTTTTTTTAGGGTTTCTTCTTTTTTTATTTGATGATGAGGAATAGTAGTGGCTTAGCTGGTCCAGTCGCATCAGGCCAGCACGCGCGCCCCGCGGCCCGAGTCCGCCCGTCGTGTCAGAGGATAAGCGGGCTATCCTTCTAGCCCCGCCTGAGCTGGCACCCAGTCACGGGCGCCTCCCACCCACCCCCTCCACACGGCGCGGGCCACGTGGCCCACCAATCAGCCGTGGCCCGACCGCTACGCGAGGGGCCGGCCGGCGCACATGGGCGGGGCGCACACGTGGTGCGAAGGCCCGCTCCGGCGGGGCCCGCGCGGGAGGAAGCGGCCACCACGTCACCTGCATGACCGGGACGCCGCGCTGGCCCTCGGGGCGCGCGCGCGGCGACGCGTAGCCCGGCGGCGCGGTCGACACGTGGGGGACGGATGGTGCGGGGTGACGCGGGATCGGACGCGCGGGCCCCACCCCCACCCGCCGTTGGGCCCAGCTCACCGATCCACTTGCACCGTCGCCCATCCCGCGGTCCCAGGCTAGCTGCACCCAAGAACCTACACGGCCGAGCACTATGTCAGCTCGCTACGCCAATTTTTTATTGGCACGCAATCCAGTTTTTTTAATCTACAATACCACAATTATGTTCATGTTGTCTCGTTCACAAAAAAAATGCAAATGTCCATGTCTCAAAAAGTACCGCTTTATTTTTGAGAAAAAAGACTTTGCTAATTCAGATGCGTGTTGGACGTCGTCATCCACAAAGGTTTGGATGTATTTTAATTTCTAAAGGTGTTTTTATAAGATTTGTGCTACTTAGCATATGAATGTTTTTTCTATTTCTCTGGGGATGTTTTTATAAGGGTTTGTGTTATCTAATATATGACCTATGGACATTTAAAAAAAAGTGTGTCCAATTTTTGAATTGCGGATCATTTTTTGGATCATCCGTGATATTTCTTATAAAGCATAATGCAAAATTATTTATTTTCACTTTGTGCCTATGCAACTCGATATGCATGTGAATTATGTAAAACCAATGGTCACACGACCTTTTGTTGATAGCCTATTTGGTTGGGGGAATTAGTGGTAGGGAATAGAAATTTGAGGGGTTGATGACGTATAATCTATTGTTTGGCTGGAGGGAGGGAGTTGAGGAGAGAAGATGAAAGGGAATTAAGGGGGCCAATTCTCACATATCTCCTCCCTGCCCTTGCTTGTTAACTTAGGTGGCATGCTACTTTCTTTCAAACTCCCTTGATTATATCGTACTGCACATTAAACATAGTTTTGAGACTAAAAATCAAGTTTTCATGCCTAATCCACCACTAAACTCCCATTCAAACTTTCCATCATAGCCAACACATTGTGAGGTTTGTTCACAAAATAGCATCTACCTATAAGTAGCAAGACCTAATATCCGATAGCGATAGTCCATGTCGGAAAAATGACAAGAACAGACACGTCTTGCGCGTTTAGCTTTTAAACCAATTGAGAAAAAGTGCGAAAGAAGTCATTCACGTAGTTCTGGGTCGTTCTCCACCACGGTTGAGTTCCCGTACCTCCCAGCCCCGTGCCGCTCCCCCGCGGGGCAGCCCGGGCGCGAAACCCTAGCCGCCGCAGGTCGCAGACCTCCACCACCCCTCCCTCCGCCGCCGCCGGCGAGCGCCGTCGGGCAAAGCCCGCACGGCGTCGACGGTGGCGGGCCTTTCTCTTCCCTCTCGCCTGGGGCTGGAACTGCGCGGGGCTGCTCCCCTGGGCGGAGGAGGCGCTCGGTGGCACGGGTGGAGGGCCCTGTCGGGCGCGAGCGCGGTGCGGCCTGGCGCGCGCTGGAGTCGGGCGGCGCGTCCTCGCGAGCTGGAGGCTGGGCGGCGCGCGCGGAGTGTGAGCTGCTGTTGTGCGGGCACGCGTGGATCTGGCATGCCGCAGTCGCGGCGGCGGGCAGATCCAGGGCGCTGCGAGGGGGTGCTCTGTCGTCGCCCCTGCACGGATCTGCGGCGTGCCGGTCGCGGGTGGCACGTGTGGGGCTCCGGGACGCCCGGATCTGGAGCGTAGGAGGCATGCTGGGCGGGAGGGCTCCGCCAGAGCGGATCTGGGCGCGGTGGGCGCTTGGTGACCACGGGCGGTGCTGGAGCAGAGGGGCCCCGGCCGCGGTACGGATGCGGGGTGCAGGACCGATCTGGTCTCTGCAGGCCCGCCGTCGGGAGACTTGGCGGTGGCCCTGTGCAGCGGTGGCGCGCCCGCTGTGTGGGGGCGCGTTTTCAGTGGAGGCACAGGTCGACCTCGGCCTGCTGCGTGGGAGTGGCTGTCCCGGGTGATAGCCTGGTCGGTGCTGGCCGGCTGGCGGCGACGGCGTCTGTGGGCGTCGCTATCCTCCTTGGAGGCGTCGTCGGGATTCACATAGCTAGATCTCCCGGATCAGGTCCTTTGGGTGAAAACCCAGATCCTGCTGCAGGGTCGGGCGGTGGCGTCGTCCTCAACGTCGTTCCCCTCTCTAGGGCACCGTCTTGAAGACTTTGATCCCTTTGGTGCTTCTTACAGCTGGACGTGCAGGGTAGCTTCTGTGGCAACGATGACGGCGGTGTGCAATGTCGGAGGCGTGGCCTTGATCGTGGTAGTCGACTCTTCTTTCTCCGGCGTGTCCGTGGGTGTGCCTCGACTGCCTGTTGCTGTGAAGTCGAAGCCGCGGTGGGGGGGCGGTGGTAGACGATGACACATGACAGATGGCTCGTTCGGTGATCCCTTGTGACGCCACCCCAGCGTAGTTTCCTTAGTAGTACACCGTCGGAGTTGAAGCTGCGCTGTCTAGTATGGGATGTGTGGAGTGGTGTGCTGCAGCTATTAGGGCTGTTGTTGTTTTTTTTTCTTTTTCTTTGATCTTCGGGTCTGGTCCTAGGACCTTCGCCACCTTGTTGTTTTCCGCTGCTTCCTGCTATTATCAATGAAATGCCAGCGATGCTGGATCTTTCAAAAAAAAGTGCGAAGAGCACGTCGCTCCTTTTCTTGACTGAGAATGACAGCTTGATCATACATATGTAGTAGTTGACTCCATCACTAATACATTATCTGTTTGAACTGCCAAAATGTCTTGCACCCTAGGTGACACCCTAGATTATTCGTGCTCCCTCCTTCATTCAACCTTCTTTGAACATGCAGACCGAATATTTTGTCTCGTACTCCTTCGGTAAGGAAATCTAAGAGCATTTAGATCACTAAATGCATGATCTAAACGCTCTTATATTTCTTTATAGAGGGAGTAATCTATTTTAATCTATTTTTTATGAATATAATTGTAGATTTATTGGACATATATAGTTTGTCATTGCCAAATATCCTTTCACTAGCACAAAACGTGTTTTTTTAGACAATCTTGCGAAGTTTTATTCAACCGTCACAATATTTATAGGGACGAAGAGAATTCCTTCGGAGTGACCTAGCCAAACATGGCGGCCAGGCCCCAAAGATAAATCATATTTCGCAAGATTCTGAGCATCAAAATTTAAGCTCATAAGCTCATGAACTATATTATAAGAATTAGAAGAAACTGAAGGGAGTTTTATCTCTTGAACGATTACACCATAGCCGGTTGCACTCCCCTTGTTGATCTCCTCAACGACCCCATTAGAGCATCTCCAGCCGTTTGGCCCCTCAGGGCGCCGAAAAAGAGCGGCCTAGGACTGAGCCGGCGCTAGTTCGGCCCCTGGGTTCGTTTCTCTTCAGCCACGCGCCCAGGTACCGCCCCAGAAGGCGCTCCATATTCAAAATCCATCATTTCCGCTCAAAGAAACAACAAAAACGGCGATCATCGCAATAATTCGGCGATTCACAGTGCCACAGTTTGCGATCAAATGTAGTTCGGCGTACAAAAAAAGGAAGGACGCGGTAGGCGTCAAGCGCCGAGCTCAACCTCCGGCGGCGTCGGTGGCGGCGTACGCGGGCTGGGAGGAGTCGGCGCGGCTTCCAGGCTGTTCGGCGCGACTGAGGCATCGTCGTCGGTGGGACTGGGCGTCGCGGAGGCGTCGTCCTCAGCCGCCGGGCTGGGCGGCGGCGCCGGTATCTGGTTAGGATGAGGCTGCGATTGGCCAAGAACCACGCCTTGAGCTTCTCGTCGCCGCTCTGGAGCATGTCAGCGCCGCTCATCAAAAAGGCGAGGTCGTTATTCCTCTTCTTGGCGTCTTGTGCTTTGAGCTTCGCGGTGGCGCTGGTCCGGAGCAAGTCGAGTTTGACGGCGTTGTTCGTCATCAAAACAACCCACCTCGCCTCGGTTTTCTTGTCTCGTTCGGCGGCCCTGGTCTTGGCGTCGGCGAGGCAGTGTTCGATGGACTCTTGCACGCGTGTGGCAGCTGACTCGACATATTTCGCCTTCTTGGCACCTTTGTTGCCGTTCGGGCGCCCGTCAGCCGCGCCCGCGGTCGGCTCGTCCGGTTTGTATGTCTCCTTGGCCTTGGGGAGAGTGCGTCGGATGGCCGCCCATTTTTCGCACTTGTCGACCCGCTTGAAGACGTGGAGGTACTTGAAGTCTACGTCGCTGTTGTCGTCGCGGAACATGGCGGACATGCGTAGCAGCTGCGTCGAAGAAAGGACATCAGTCGGCACCAGAGCGCGCGCCAGGGCGCGTACAAGGCGAAAGAACGCTCTCGGAGCGAAAGAACGGCGTGCGATACCTGATCCTCGAGGCTGGTGCCGCTCTCCGGGCGAGCCGTGACCTCCTCGACGACCCCATGCCATTTGTTGCATGCCATTTGGATGAGCGACCAATGGTTCACCATCCCCTTCGCCCCCCGCTTCATGTGCATGCCTTTGAAGTAGGGGTCGACGAGCTTCCGCTCGTCGAACTCGGCCTTGATGCGGTCCCAATACGTCTCGATGCTCTGATTCGTGTCGGTGACCGGGTCGAGGCAGACAACCTTCCACGCTTCGGCGAGGCACTCATCTTCCCTGGACGCCCATTTGATGTGTGGCTCGCCGGACTTGGCCGCCGTCTTCTTCTTCTTCTTCTTCTTCTCGCCTTTCCTCGTCGGCGCCGGCTCCTCCTCCTCTTCTTCCTCCTCCTCTGGTTCTTCCTCGCCGTAGTCGACCTCGCCGTCCATGTCGGCGAGGCCAATCGAGCCGTCATGCGTAGTGAATCCGGGGGAGGCGGCAGCGACAGTCGAGCTGGCTGCGATGATGTCCTCCATGTCGGCCTCCGTCGTGTCGGCGTCGCCGAGATGCGACGAGGATGAGGCTTGCGAGTAGAGGCCGCGGCGAAGAGGGGGCGTTGGTGAGGCGGCGTAGTCCGGCGACGAGTACGTGTAAGACAGGTACTGCACGTCGGCGAACGCGGGCGAGGGCGTGCGCTGGGCAGGGCACCCATGGGGGAAGGTGATGTCGGGGTTGAAACCATCGTGGGCGTCCCCATCGGCATAGCCCGGCGACGGCGTGCTCCATGGGTGCGGCGACGACGAGAACCCGGCCGGAGAGCCGACGCTTTGCTGGCTGCAGGCCGCGTACGGGTGCCCACCGGGTGGATTTGCCATCACCGCGCGCGCAACCTCCGCCTGTTCGGCGGCATGCTCCGCCGCCGCCGCCGCCGCCGCAACGTACGCCGCTTTTTCCCTCGCCTTCTTGGCCCTGTTGCGCATGTCGGCGGTGACGGCCTCTCGGCGCTCCACATCCGCCTTCCACTCGGTGTTTGTCATGCCGGGGGGCTTGGAGAGCGGAGCCCTCGGCTTCCTTTGCTTCGGCTGGGCGGCGGTGACGGTGGGATTCGTCGCGGCGCGCGACATCACGTACTTCTTCGACGGCATGGCCGACGGAAGGACAAGGAGGAGGCGGGGGTTTGGCGGGAGGAATGGAGAAGAGAGGGGTGAACGCGGGAGGAAACAGCGGGAAAAGGGCTTCCAGTCGCCGACAGAGCGGACCCACGCCGCTTTTCGCTTGTGCCGGCGCGCCCAGACGACACCCGTCCGTTTGGGTTCGGGGCGGGATCGCCGGCTCTGGATTTCGCCCAAACCGGCGCTAAACGAGATCCTGGGGGCATGACTGGGTTGATTTTTGGCCACCGACGCTAAAAAAATGCCTTGAAAGGGCCTGTTTGGGCACGGCTGGAGATACTCTTACAATCCGAGCCACATGAATACGATGTATGTTAAGATCATCTGACTAGCACAAAACGCGTGGGACGCAAATCGGGGTGCCCGTGGCCGGCCGCTGACCCATGGCGCGCCCCAGTGGCCCAGTCCTTATCATATACACGTGTCCCCTGACGTGGCTCCAGCCTTTCGCGCCCCCCTCCAACTCTCCTTCCCCCTTCCTCTCCCTCGCCCCGCCTCTC